TCTGAACTTTCAGCTACCCCTAGTGCAGAGTATACCTCAGCTGCTTTGCCAACCAGTACACTTTGTAACATTGTTGACCAAACATTTTGTGGCCATTTAAGATTTTCTGCGACTTTTTCGAATTGGGGAAAATACTTGTCTACAGATTTTTCTTGAAATTTTGGAACTAATCTAATATTTTTTGCTGCGTCAAATTCATTCTTGACAAATGACGGTTCTGGTTGGTGCTGTAATCTTAATTTCTCTAACTCAAAGTGCTCTTGTCTTTCTAATTTGTCTAATTCAAATTTTCGTTCACGCTCTCGTTCTTCTCTTTCTCTTTCTCTGTCTCTTTCTCGCTCTTCTCTTTCTAATTTTTCTCTTTCAAATCGCATTTTCTCTAACTCTAATTGAAACTGATAGTCTGCCATTTTGTAAGAGCCTAACTCTGATCTAACTGTATATTCTGGAAGATCGTATTTTTTCTTCTACTAGTTTGTTTGCAACTTTAATTCTGATGTCTTCCTTTCTCTGAGAGGATTTAACATCTAACCCAAAATGCAAACCTAATGCGATCAAGTCATCCTTTTTTAACGTATCAAAAACCTGAACACTTGGTGAACTAAGAAAGTCTGTGACCGAAAACAACATGTTGATTTCTGCTGGCTTATAATCAAATTTAACAATTTAATTAACAAAATTCTGACAATGAACTGCAAAAGTGCAAGAAATTCTTGATCCCGGACGAGCCCCCAATTCTGTTATGGGTCAGAATAACCCTAAATGCCAGCAAAGATCAATAACACAATTTAAACTTAACAATAATTTATTTACAGTAATATACAAATCATTCTGTCAAACTTAGCAAAAATCTAAAAATACATACATCAGAGTGTCCGTTGCTGCACACCATGTCCCAGTGAAATTATATCCCAGTAATACCTCAATGATGCTTATACGACAATTCTATCTCTGCATCGAATTGACAGGGTATTTATACAGTAATATAAATCTAGAATATTCTAGAAATTGTAAATACATGATATTACTGGAAAGTTCTGGACATGCACAAAGTTCAAGAATGTTCTAGAAAAATGACCGAACATGTTGACCACTCTGGAATGTTCAAGAAACTTAATGTTACTAATAATATACAAGATGAAATAATACAAATACAACACACCTCACAACATCTTTTTTGGAATGTTTCATACCAAGTGTCAGGCTATTATTTTCTTACTACAAGTGACTTTGACTACAGATGATTCTTGTTTACAACACTGAGGGTTCCTGGTTGTGACCAGTTGACAGGGGAAGCTTACTCCTCTCCCTGGCCTGATCCCAGCTGATTCCAGGGGGCCATGTTTTTTGCTCTATTCACATTTTGGATTGTTTGCAGGATTTGTCCGGTCTAGTGCTGTTCCTTTTCTTTACCTTTACAAAGGGATTCTTAGTACTGATGTAAGACTGTGTGGTGTTACAGTTTTCACCTACCGGGGTACTTTACTCTCCTGGATCAGGACATTTAACAAGTTGTTCTCTTTTCATAGAGATGAATTTTTTCATGTGTACTGACATTTTAATAAACCTCTTCATGCAGAAAGGGTTACTGTACTTGTACTTTATTTGGTGTATTCAAAATTTAGTGCAGTCGCTGAGTATGGGGTTTTTGGCGTAATCAGGAATTAGCGCTAGGCATGTCCGTTCCATGTATTATATTTATAAATTTTTTTTTAGTGGTATTCATGAATTAGCGCATCGATGTCTGCGCCAATGCCGCTAAACTATGAAAACCGCTTTTTTAAGTACAAATACAGTATATTGGATAGGGGTAATGAAATCAGTAAGTCTCTGTGTCGGTCTTGCTTTCTTACTTGACACTATAAGTTAACTGATGGTCACACACAGACTAACGGGTCACTAATTTTCAATTTTACAAAACTCTGAGGTTACTCATGAACGTAATATGCTCGAATACTTTAAGTAGCCATAAAATTGCAGCAATGTCAGTTCATAAGGCTTGATTTTGAGTTGTAGTAGGTAGTATAAATATCTGTAGAACTTTGAGTCCTACTAATTTTTTTTTTTATACTGGTCAGCTACAATAAGTTAAATAGGAAAATCACCAAACTGACGTCAATAGAAAACCTCAAGCAAATTCCTCTCTTTTTCTGGATTCAAAGCTAATGTCAGTAGAATATAAAGAAAGTGTAAAAATAAAAATAGATTTTTTTTTTCAAAAGAATCAATTTTAATTCATAATTGATTCGTAAATAAAGATTTGACATACAGTTTACAGTAATCTTTGGATATATACACTAGCTCAGTTGTCATGCTGCGATTTTTATTGATTGTTGTGGACTAATTAACAGAATACCTGGCTTGATATGACACAGTGTGTGTGTGTGTTTTTAATTTTTCTCGGACATCTGTTTTTGACAGATCTGATCGTTCATTGATCTGTTTTTTCTGAGAAGAGCCTTGCCAGGGTATGTGTTACACATCCCCTCATTCTGTATAACCCTGTATGGCCTGCTCCAGGAAGGATTCCAATATGGTGAACCAGAGCAGCCGCTCGCAGTCTGAGGTCAGCTGGAGGCTGGCCTAGGTAGACCCTCAAGGACACGGGATGATCGTGATCCTGTACAACTGAGATATTTTTCCTGTGAGCGAGGTAACAGTTGGCAGGGCTTGATTGAAGAGACTTTCACTTCTGCACATACAGACAGGATATCTAGACAATGATTTTATCAGTGTCATAATGGATTTTTAAATTCTATTAATTTTTAATTTAAAAGATGTATAGTTTTGAATAGATTAAGTCTTTACATCAGGTAAGACTTTCTTGCTATAGTTAATTGTTATAATGGGAAATGTAATTTTGTACACTTCATTGAGACTTAGACACAGGTTAACTTATGCATTTTTTGGGTATTTCTTGTAATTTTCAGGGACGTAGCAATGGGGGGGGGGGGGGGGGGGGGGGGGCTGCCTCCCACTTTTTTTGCCAACAATACTTTTACGGTCAGGAAAAATAAAATTGAATATTATTTTCTTTAAAATTATTTTTAAAAAAGAAATCGCTGCACATGTGGTTGAAAATTTGGCATTTAAAAAAACTATTCAAACTGATTTGGAGATAATTATGGCTCTCTGCAGAGTTTCCGAAAACAAAATATTTCTATCAGTCATTCGGACTGATGACTTAATGCGTTCTACCAGTCCGAAGCATATTCTATCGGTCCGAATAAATTTTAGAATATACAGTGTGTATTTCATATCAGATTTAATTCAAAACAAATAGCATTGAATCATATATGTAAAATTTGTCGTGACTCACCAACATTGATTGTGATACCAGGGTTAATTCAAGCATGTCACCAGCCCACATAGGCTAAAGTCACTAGCCCTATGTAAATACTGGGGGAAAGAAAAACTAATTCTAATAAAAGTTAATTCTTGAAAAAGAGAATTTCTTAAGGTTACTAGGCCTAGAATTCTTTTTAAAATTAACAGTTTAATTCTCACTTGTAAAATTGAATCATATATAAATAGCAGTTATGATAGAAATTCAAAATACAATTAAATTTAAATGATCTTTACGTTTTCTCAGTGGGCATTGCACTCCATGACCTATATAATGCATGTGTTTATCATTAACCGAGAAATGGAGGAAATTCGGATTAGGAAAAAAACGATCGTTTTTTGAAGTAAATAAGTCAAGCAGAATTGCAAAATGGATAAGATTATGGCTATTTACGAGGAATAGGAGCATGCTGCATTGAAATTTTTCATTTATGAAGACATTGCAATAGTTCAGAGTACAATAAATTAATCAGGACAAGCCCTCACCACAATCGGTCACTCGGACCGGTACTATAGCGAATTTCATCGGACATTTCGATTTTCTATCGGTTTTGCCGGTAGGACCGATAGTTTTCGGAAACTCTGCTCTGTATTGACTAGACCATGGAGTTATAGGACAATTTGCGTAGCAGTATGCAATTATTGTGCAAACACCATGCTTTTAACCAGACTGTCCTGTATTTCTTCAATCATGATAATTAATTTAATGAGAGCACTGTGAAATGGTATGTTTGTTGTATGTAGTTTTCTATCCAATTAAATTATTTGCCAAACATTGTAAATTAAGGGCTACAGTTCAGACTTAGTTTTGATTATTTTGACAATTTTACCCTGCATGACATCTGCTCTAAAAATTAGATTGAGAATTTTCTAAGTTGTTTTTTTCTCATTTATTTTGAAACTGAAATAAAAAATGAAGTTTTCTGATACAAAAAAGAGACAAATGGAATGTTTTTAACTTCTGTCATCTTTTTTAAGTTTTTCTGTGTACATACGAAAGAGGTACATGTTCTTTGAAAATGTGTATTTTGAAATGATTAAGTGGTTAATCTGTCGGAACGTCTTGTGGTTAACCGATTAGCAATTCTGCATTCCATTGACATCCCTAGTAAATTCAGATGAAGGTGCTACTTCTCTGAGACTGAGACAAAGGTAAATTCAGGTAAAGGTGCTACTTCTCTGAGACTGAGACAAAGGTAAATTCAGGTAAAGGTGCTACTACTCTGAGACAGGTTAATTCAGGTAAAGGTGCTGCTTCCCTGAGACTCAGGCACAGGTTAATTCAGGTAAAGGTGCTACTTCTCTGAGACTCAGGCACAGGTTAATTCAGGTAAAGGTGCTGCTTCTCTGAGACTCAGATATAGGTTAATTCAGGTAAAGGTTCTAAAGTCTCTGAAACTCAGGCTAAGTCAGATAAAGTGCTTCAATATGTGCCTGTAATTTTGATTGCAAATGTTTGTTTTCTATTGTATTTCACTGTGTGATGTAATTATTAGAAAAGAGTTGGTTTTCGATCTTTTTTGTAACTAACCCTTTCATGTTAAATGATTGAGGATTGTAGTGTAATTGATATGATATATAAGTTTAAAATATACTTTTAATTTATCAATTTTTTAAATTGTTTCCTAAGTCTTGTACTTTAATTTGAACTTCAGACTTTGCCTAAAAGGCAGGTAAGGAAAAAGTTCTCGTACCTGGTGTTTCTATGGCAACACTTTTCACCACTGACACATCTCTAGGGGTTTTGTAGAATCACACCTGAATTTCTGTTGTTCAATAAGATTATGTATATAATTATTAATTAAACACCTTTTTTAGTGTAGTATGAATACCTATCACTTTAATGCAATTGTTTATGTTAATTAAGAATGTTAAAACACAAAAGTCAAAAGAAATCCTTACACAAATGTATGACTGTTGTGATGTAGAGATATAATTATTAGCCATTCTCTTACATTCTCTTTCAACTGTTCTTTTTTCTGATCACCAAACCTGTAAATATCTACAAAAATATCTATAAAATTAGAAACCAACCCTTCTCCAGAAAGCATGATCTCTACCTCTGTCAAAATTATATACCCTTTTGTGTTTACATTCATCTGTAACCTTCTTCATCAAATTAATACGATATCTATAATCCCATAAACCAATGAAAATAATCTTCAGGAATAAATAGTGATGCAGATGTTTACAACTTTGAAATCTGCTCATCAGCTTCATTCAAACATCAGCCAACACCTTACACGATTGGTCCACTTCATTCATACATCAGCCCATAACTTACTTGATTGGTCCACTTCATTCATACATCAGTCCATAACTTATACGATTGGACCACTTCATTCATACATTAGCCCACAACTTATACGATTAGTCCACTTCATTCATACATCAGCCCACAACTTACTTGATTGGTCCACTTCATTCATACATCAGTCCATAACTTATACGATTGGTCCACTTCATTCATACATCAGCCCACAACTTATTGGTCCACTTCATTCATACATCAGCCCACAACTTATACGATTGGTCCACTTCATTCATACATCAGCCCACAACTTACTTGATTGGTCCACTTCATTCATACATCAGTCCATATTCCATAACTTAATACGATTGGTCCACTTCATTCATACATTAGCCCACAACTTATACGATTGGTCCACTTCATTCATACATCAGTCCACAACTTACTTGATTGGTCCACTTCATTCATACATCAGCCCATAACTTATACGATTGGTCCACTTCATTCATACATTAGCCCACAACTTATACGATTGGTCCACTTCATTCATACATCAGCCCACAACTTACACGATTGGTCCACTTTATTCATACATTAGCACACAACTTATACGATTGGTCCACTTCATTCATACATCAGCCCACAACTTATACGATTGGTCCACTTCATTCATACATCAGCCCACAACTTATACGATTGGTCCACTTCATTGATACATCAGCCCACAACTTACTTGATTGGTCCACTTCATTCATACATCAGCCCACAACTTACTTGATTGGTCCACTTCATTCATACATCAGCCCACAACTTATACGATTGGTCCACTTCATTCATACATCAGCCCACAACTTATACGATTGGTCCACTTCATTCATACATCAGCCCATAACTTATACGATTGGTCCACTTCATTTATACATTAGCCCACAACTTATACGATTGGTCCACTTCATTCATACATTAGCCCACAACTTATACGATTGGTCCACTTCATTCATACATCAGCCCACAACTTATACGATTGGTCCACTTCATTCATACATCAGCCCACAACTTATACGATTGGTCCACTTCATTCATACATCAGCCCATAACTTATATGATTGGTCCACTTCATTCATACATCAGCCCACAACTTATAGGATTGGTCCACTTCATTCATACATTAGCCCACAACTTATACGATTGGTCCACTTCATTCATACATCAGCCCACAACTTATACGATTGGTCCACTTCATTCATACATCAGCCCACAACTTATACGATTGGTCCACTTCATTCATACATCAGCCCATAACTTATATGATTGGTCCACTTCATTCATACATCAGCCCACAACTTATACGATTGGTCCACTTCATTCATACATCAGCCCACAACTTTGAAGTATGGAGTTTTACAGTGACACTGGACTAAACATGTTAACTTGTAGCTCTAGGGAGGCAGTATTTCAGATGAATTTTACACTGCATCTTGGCAGGATACAGAATAATGTAGGAAGCAATACTACATTTCAGATCCATTTTATAGATTACACAGCATGGTTGGAGTATACCCTTGTAAAATGATCATCTCAGTTCTTTCATTAATTTTATAGCCAGGATGTGGTATCTACTGCTCTGATTTCTTGATACAAATAACACTCACATAATAAACTTAGTCAAGAAACTATCTTCATTTCTATTGAATTGATACATGTCTAAGGTCTGTTTTGATAGATAATGTATGTAATTTATGTTTGTATTTCAGCACTATGGGAAGATCCCCCTAATTGATTGTACACTAATAGAGGACCCTGGAGCAGAACCCTTTATAAATGACCCAGACAGTGAGTTTCTAAAACTTTATTTGTTATTACATTAGCCCTCAAATGTGATTAATATTTTTAATTAACTCAGTGTATTAATTCTATAATTTATTATTTTTTTGTCAGCATCTTCGGTAGATTCCATAGACAGCATCCGAAGTACCAGCTCCCTAAACACCCTTATCCAGCCCGGGGAGAAGGAGACGCGCACAGATTACAATGGACTAGACTTTAAAATTATAGTGGATACCAAGAGTGGAAACGGGACATCCATAACTTTAGTGGCAGCCACTCGCCAGGAAAAACTGGCGTGGTGCTCCGACATCAGTCAGGTGGTTACTCAGATCTGTAACAATAGTCCCACTTGTTCTATCTCAGTGTAAAAACAAAGCCCAAACTTATACTATAGAAATCTGTTTATAATGCTTTATATCAGTTAGCTAGGTGACTCTACCCAGTGCTACGCTCCAGATTGTAGCAGCTTACCTAGCTGCTATGCTAATTATCTAGCTCTTATGATGATTGAACAATTAAAGTATGATTTGAGCTTTCAAGATTCAAGCTGCTATGCTAGGCCTGGTATACAGATATTATGATTGAACCTGCGGTGTGATTTAGCTGTTCAAGATTGTAGCAGCTAGCATAGCTACTAGGCTAGATATCTAGGCTTACCAAGCTAAAGCTTTTATAAATGTTTTTTTGTAGCATACCATTCAAGTATTTTTAGACCTGGATTCTAAACTCTTATGATCTTGAAAGCAGCCCAGGTCTGAGGTGTTACTGTCAGTCAATGTTTTCTGTTCTTGACAGAGCATATAGGCAAATTTTACAGAATATTTCTTCTAGAGGGCAGGGCAGGGGGATAATGGGCATAAGATTATATCCATATGAGGGACTAAGATTCTTTCAGAGATTATTTGAAGAAAAAGAATGCAAGATATACATTGCAGTCCCATTTAGTGTACATTCATTATATATAAGAATAAGAATAATTTTACACAGAAATAAATAAGAATAGACAGAATTAAGTTTTGTCTCAAGTAATTTTCTGTGTGATCTCTGGTGATCAATAAGGCCCATGGTCCTCTAAATAATGTGTTTTAAAAAATCATTTATCAATGTCATACTTGCATGCATTCTAACTATATCTATGATATTGTAGCAGGATTATGCTGTCTTAACAAGTTGTTTGTTGTGTTTTTACATTTCCTGTGTTTTGTTGACAGTGTATAGAAGACCTGCACTACAGTGATCTCCTGAATACCTCAATGAGTGAATCATCCTCCGTCACCATGCCTCAATCTGTCAGGTAAGAAAAACACCCCGCCCCCTTTCTGTCTCATGATTATAGAGTATAAAGGTCATACTAATCTAGAGTGTTGCCTTAATCTTCAGTCAATATTTGTATCATCTTTGAGATACATGAATCATCTCATTGTGTTCTTAATGCCCAATATCATTTGGGAATCAGAAATACATCATCCACAATATTATATATCAATGGCCAATATGGATCAAGAAGTTGTATTTCTTTCAATTAAGACTCAATTATTACCAATAAGCAAGACAACAGCTGCTATGATCATCCTTTATAAATCACATATGCTAGGTAATTTTTAAACAAAATGTTGCAAATATCTGATATTTTAATTTCAAATTTTCTTTTCAATATCCAAACTGTATGAGATAATAAAATGCACAGCTGGTACTATAATCAATTCTGTGGGTAATATCCAAGAATATTAATTAATGGATATTAGGATAATATTTATGCATCATTGCATGTAAATATCAAAGCTATAATATCCATACTTTGCCTATTACTTATGGATATGAAGCCTTATAGCCATGTATCAACACTCTGATATCCTTGTTAATATCCATGGTATAATCATTATTTATGGATATCCATATAAAATCCATTCTTTGGTCATTACATTTGGATACCAGACATATATCTAAGCTTTGGTCTTTACTGGTGGATATCCAGGCTAATATCCATGTTTTGATCATTATTGATGGATATTCAGGCTAAAAGCCATGCTTTGATCATTATTGATGGATATTCAGGCTAAAAGCCATGCTTTAATCATTATTGATTGATATTCAGGCTAAT